CTATACAAATACACACAGTACACACAGCTGTCTGCAGGTACTACATATACAGTGGAGGATATAAGTATTTGATCCCTTGCAGATTTAGTACGTTTGCGGAAATTAACAGTCTATAAAATACTTAATGTATCTCTTATATAATGTACATTTCTGCATTTTCTTTTTGATATTCTGTCTGTATTAAAATGATAGACTGTTCATTTCTTTGTAAGTGGGTAAACTTACAGAGTCAGCAAGGGATCAAATACTTATTTCCTCCACTGTATACAGGTATGAAACACACTGCTGTCCTCATGTAATAAATATACATATGCTGTACATTTAAAGTATAATACACACTGGTATTCAGCACTCTTCTCACCAGCTTTCTGGATTTTACCAAAGGCATTGTGGGAAATGTAGGAACCCTCCTTCCACTTCCTGTGTGTCCTCACGCTGTGCTGTGATTGGTTGGTTTGCAGACAGGCAGGTAGACAGAGCCAGCCCATTGGTGGGGGACGGTGGGCAGGTAGGTGGGGGTGAATGCTGATTGGTTGACAGCTTAGCATGGAAGCGCTCAGCATGGCATGGTGCCCTCCCCCCCCCTCAATAACCCTAAATACCCCCTCCCCCCCACACACCTGTCGCTCAGAGCTGCTTCTGCCTGCAGGCTGCGTTCAGGGCCCACTGAGCCCACGCACTGATGTTTGTGTCGCCTGTTCCCCATCGTCTCCGAGGTCAAGTCACAAGGAAATTAAACTCCAATAGAGAGTTGCAGGAATGAGTCCTAAAACCAGGAAGTGAGTCAGCATTTCACCACTTCCTGTTCGCTCGTCTCAGAGCCAATGGGATCTCTCCATAGGATTTTGGGAAAATATCTGGAAATAAGGTCTACGTTTTGTTTTCTACGACATTAAATCCATCAGCAGAGACCCCACTGGTGATTTCTGAAGAGTTGACGTGTCTGAAAAACGATGGTTGTTACCGAGTGGCTGAATAGGACTACAGAAGTCGTGGAGGCCGTTGTACGTCATTACGCCGAACACGTAAACACTCCTCTAAGTTAGTTTCTGTTCTGCTTGAAAGCAAGTCCCTGCCTCCTGCAGACTGTTCAAACAAACGCTTCAACTCGTTCCATCTAGAATCTGTGTGTTTGAATATGGATCTGAAGTTGGTGTGACGTTGAAGTCGTGCTGCTGGACTCGGCTGTAGTTCCTTTATAGCATAACGTTAGCATTTAGATTCTGGACATTAGATTAAACAAATTATAAAAGTTGGGTAGACATGTGGAGATTATCCGGCTGAACAAAACGTGCATTTTAACAGGTTCGTTTTCCACAGACCGTATTTTTTACAATATTCCAAAATCCTATGGAGAAATCCCGTTGCTTTTAGTCGAGGGAACCAGCAGCTTCCTTCAGGGTCGGGCTACACGTCATCCTGCATCGCTCTATTAATCCTCACGTTGTTTAACGGAGCGGTCCAAGGCTAGGATTCCTGGACCTTTTTTAATAATAGTATTTAACTCTTGTAGCTCACTTGAATTAAAAAAAAAGCCCCCCAAAAAAGTCCATATAGTTATATATTATAACTTACCACCTTCACAGTCTTATCATTACTAGAAAATATTATTTTATTTTAACAATTTTAACCCTTTAAATGCCAGTTTGTGTACATTAAACAACTTGTATTGCTTAGTGTTTTCATTTGATTTATTTACGTTTTCTGAAACAAAATGCATCAAAAATCAATATGGTAAAGAATTGTACGCAATTCAAATTTGAAGCCGGGACTCAAAATGCAGGGTTTTTATTAATTGGGATTTCAATGGGGACATTTTTGTCTGTATTCTGGATACACACTTTATTATAGGAGCTGACGTACACTAACAATACTCACCCATGCCAAATGTTATGCTATATAACAAAGCTTAATGCTAACCCTAACATGTGAATAAAAAGTCCCTAAAGTAAGGCAGAAGGCTTAAACCCTGGGCTTCTCCTTGTGACTTCAGAGCGATGGGGCGTTGTGGTTGAGTTGGTGTCCTTCAGTTGCTGAATATTATTTATAAGTTAAAGGTTTCTGTAGCTTTAAGTGAAGGTGAATACATATCTGGATAGATGTTGGTTTCTTTTGTTACATTAACACTGTGATGGGGCTGCTGTCTGATGGTCTGGTTTTCTTTCTGTAAATTTTTGCTGGGTGACTAAGGAAAACAGTTTGTATCATACTTAGTCAACTTTATTTCAAGAATACACATTTTACATGTTCATCTTATTTTATAAATATCCAGACATTTATCGACGTTTTGGTTGACTTCATATGATTTGAAAAAACAAGAATTAAAAATAAAAAGTTACTGAGGAAATGAACCCTGTAAGTTATTATTTGATGAGGTTGACGAAATATGATACAAACTAATGTGAACTAAGACTTCAGGTGGAAACGTAACTCGATGTGATGGAGCTGCTGCTTTTAGGCAAGTTTTGGCTAGCTAATAAAATCAGTTGTCTTCAGTTGTTTTTTATCAAAATTAGTCAACCTTATCCAAAATTCTGGACAGATTTTATTTTTAAATATCCCAGACTTTTAAGAAAGTTTTAGGTGAAAAACTGTTGTTAGTTTTTATTAACTTTATTACATTTTAAAAATTAATGAAAACTAGGATTTAAAAGGAAAAAGTAACTGAACAAATCCTGTGTTTGAACCTCATGGGATCAATAAAGGTTCATCTTAACTTTAACCAACACAAGTGGTCATCTTTGGTAACAATTATGAAAACAGTGAGTTAAATAAAATGTCAGTTATAAGTTGATTTAAGAAGGTTGACTAATTATGATAAAAGCTAAGACTTAAGGTGGAACAGTAACTCAGAAACGATGTGTGTGGGGCTGCTGTCTGATGGTCTGGTTTCCTCCGCAGGACGACTGAAGATGACGGCGTGAGGAACCCGGCGGCGGTGCTTTTTGACGCTCGGTTCTCCGTGATTTCCCCCCTTCAGCCACGGGAGGAAGGAGCAAAGACTGCTGGGAACTTTACGGATTAATCTCAACATGGCCGACAGTCTTCGTGTCTTCTTGCCGTGTTGATGAACTTCTCAAAGCTCCCGCGCTCCTCCCCTCTGGACTGATTCTCTGATATTCCCCGACAGTATACGCTTTCCAATCACAGTATTTCTTTTATCGTTTCGTTGTAAAGTTGCACTTTAAACTTTGAGATTCTTTTCTAGCCCACAGTTCCAGATGTGGTTCATAATATATGCATAATATGGTTATATTTATGTTTTGACTTGCTTTAATCTTGTTTTATTTAGGGATTTTTTTAACCCTTCTTTGATTGCAGATGCGGACCCCGTGAAAAGAGGTTAATTTAAACATTTTGAGATGAAAACTCTGACTTGTATCTGAGATTTCTTTTATCTCAGGGTATATAAATGAACCTTGTTTCAACACGTATTAATCGCCTTCTGTTTTCTAACGAAGGCTGTCTTTGGGTCCTTTATCCAATCAGGGTGCTCCACTCGTTTTAATTTTTCATGCTAACGAGGCTTCCTAAAGCTTGCCGAACAAAAAGTAAAGTCTTGACTTTGTTTCTCGTTACGCTCCTGCTGCCGTCACCTCTGTTAGAAACCAACTGTAGGAACCCCAGGTGACCTTTGACCTTTGGACAGGTGTGCAGCCGGTAGTTAGCCGTAGTCGTAGTGAACAGGAAATGCTTGAAGGCGCTGAACTGCTTCTGTGTCGTTGTTCTGATGGACATGTCTGCTTGCTTTGTCTCTACATCTCTACACTGTTGTTTTTGTATTCCCTTTTTAAATAAACGAACATCCAAAACAAACGTCTGTCGACCCATTTCCTCAGAGAGAGTTCTGGAAACAAGTCAAAGGTTTTTTTAGACGCCGTCATAAAAAGTCCTAGTAGAACATTCATTGATTTAGAAACAGGACTTAAAGGAAAAGGTAACTGAGAAAATGATATATTAATAATAATAATATTCCTATCCTGTGCTTCACACCCGACGGGCTCAATAAAGGTTTATCTTAACTTCAATCAACTAACACTTGACTCAAAGTCTGGTCATTTTTGTGCAACAATTTATGAAAGCAGTGAGTTAATACAAAGTACTGCAAAAATCAACCATGTCAGTTATTATTGATATTGAGCTATTCCCTTTTTAAATAAACAAACATGTCTCAGTCGACCCATTTCCTCAGAGTTCTGGAAACAAGTCAAAGGTTTTTTAGACGCTGTCGTAAAAAGTCCTGGTAGAGTATTTTGTGATAAGTCCTAAAAAAGGTGATAAAAGTTATTGTTCAGTATTTTGTGCTATACTGAAATAAGTAATACGGTTCTATTTTAATGTAAATACTGCTATATTTTACGATATTTTTGTATGTTATTCTAGTTTTCTTAAAACAGTTCTCTTTTTTTAATTTTTGTTTTACTATTATGTATGCACCACCACACCAAGTCCAATTCCTCGTACGTGTTAACGTGTTAATCTACAGGGTAATAAACCTGATTCTGATTCTAAAATTGTTGATGACAGTAAAATGCAGATGCTGCCCCCTGCTGGTCCAAAAGAGACTCCTCTTGGATCGCATCATGTACAACTTTAGTGGAATATGTAATAAAAGTCATTGTAGCGGCTAAAATCATAAAGAAATGAGCCAGAAATGTAACTCAAATAAGAACAACCAGTTAGCGGATCTTACGCAGGGTTCAAGGATCCAGGCCAGAGTCCTTTCTGTGCATGTTATTACTTTAACAACAAATTAAGGTTTATCACTCTTTCCTGTGGCCTCCTCGTGTTCTCCTGGTAAAAAACATATGCCATACTCGTGCTCTACTCCCCACCCCCTGTCTCCAATATATACAATTACACCAGGTGCCCCAATACACCTTCAAAATAAAAGCATCAAAACTTAAATAATAATACAGTCACTATATACGAAAACAGCAAGAAATGTAATGTTTAACTGTTCAATAATATAAATCAAAATATAGCTCCAACAGTCATTGTATAGTATTTTCCAAAAAGTCCAAAAAGAGTCGTCGTAAGGAACGTGATAAAAAGTCGAGGTACAGTATGATTTGTGATGGAAACTTCTGAAGCAATGGAGACGAAACTCAGAGACATGGCGAGATGGAGCTTTGATGGCAAACACTGACGGTGTATTTGGAGCTTCGGCCGGAGAATTCACAAGACATGTCACGGGTCACGAGGTGACACAGAGGAAGCCAAACCAATTCTGAAGAACCCTCCTGTTGCTCCAGGTTTTAACTTCAGAGTGTAACAATCAACATTCTTCATCAGACAGACTAAACAGCTGAGGACACTGAATCACATTTGTTGTCGCTTATGGCTCGAGGTCATCTACACCCCGAGGAGGATGTGTTCCAGGTGTCCCACAACAATAACTATCTCTGACCGAGAGCTGCCCGGTCACAATCTGGTAACAACAACTTGCTAGGGCAACCCCTCCTTAAGGCAAGGCACGTTTATTTATACAGCACCTTTCAACACAAGGCAATTCAAGGTTCTTTACACAAATGAAAGACATTCAGACAAAGGCATTTAAAAACCGTCATTAAAAAGAAACGATAATAAAAGAAGCATTTAAAGAAAAAATACATGAATAAAAAGTTACAGTGCAGTTTAAGATACGAATAGTTCACACAGAAGTTCCTCTTTACTGATGCCTTTCTTTAAGGTTTCTCCGAACATGAGCTGTGTACGTATGGCGCATACGTCCCGAGCAGCACACACAGAGAAAAGCAGCCAGGACAAAGTCCCCAGACTCTGATTCCCTCGGGTTACTAGCCCCAAATGTTCATCAACCAAAAACGAAACACAACCGCTCAGTTTAAATTAAAAGCAGCGGCAAAAAGAAAAGTCTTCAGCCTGGATTTAAAAGTAGTCAGAGTTGCAGCGGACCTGCAGGTTTCTGGGAGTTTGTTCCAGATATTTGGAGCATAATAACTGAACGCTGCTTCTCCATGTTTAGTTCTGACTCTGGGGACAGAAAGCTGACCAGTCCCTGAAGACCTGAGAGATCTGGATGGTTCATCATTTAGCAGGAGGTCAGAAATGTATTTTGGGCCTAAACCATTCAGTGCTTAAGGGCGATAGCGGCTGTCTAAGGTTGGGCATCTGCGTCAGAGGGTGAAAGAGGACATGCAGGGCAAATTATTCCCTGACAGATATGATATCGAGTATTTGAAAATAAGTCCTGAAAAGGTCTACGTACATGATGTCTTCAAAAGTTTAAAAAATGTCGTAGTATAGTTTGTCGTAAAAAAATGGTTGTGTTATTAAAAGTCAGTGTACATCATAAAAGGTCCTACAAAGTCATACTATAGGATGAAACAGAAACTGCTTATTATGTTATGAGAAGTCCGAGTATACGAAACAAAGTCAACGTTTAGTATTTCGTAAAAAGTCAGAGTAGATTTTTGTCAAGAGTCCTGGAAGAGTCGTCGTAAGCTACGTCATAAGAAGTCATGGTACAGTATGATATGAGAATTCTTTGTCTAGTATTTTAAAATAAGTCTTGAAAGGTCTCTGTGCACGATGTCTATGATTAGAAAGTTATTGTTTAGTATGGTATAAAATGATTCCGTATTGGGTGTCGTAAAGAGTCTAAAAAAGCTCATAGCTTGTTGCGAGTCATGGTACAGTATGTTATTAAAGGTCATATTTTAGTGTTTCATAAAAGATCCTTAAGTCATAATACTGTAAGATGTAAAAACTGATAGTATTAGGTCATAAAAAAGTCAAAGTATAGTATGTTGTAAAAAGTCAGAATGATATAGTATAGTTAGGCGTAGTAAGTCATAGTATTTTGTAAAAGTCCTACAACGTTTTTTAGCAAGGTACATTTTAAAAAGTCCTTAAACACATATTATAAAAAGTAATAGTACAGTATTTTGTAAAATTCCTAAAAAAAAATCTACGATGTCGTAAAAATTCATTAAAAGACATAAATGATTCCTACAAAGTCAAAGTATAGTATTTCATGAGTTACGTACTAAGTATTTAAAAAGTGTCATGACATTTGTTTTTGTCTCAGGACAGGATGCCATAAACTCATGAACTCATAGCTGGTCATTAATTCAAATAAGGAACCGCTCAGTCCATACAGCGCCATATAGATAGAATATTATATATAAAGATATATAATATTCTATATATACATATATTTATCTATATATATAAATATATATATAATATAAAGATAGATATTCTATTATATGGCTCTGAGTCCATAGTGAAATAAGTCATTAAAGTTGTTACAGGTGTTGATGGCAGTCATAGTGAAGGTGCTGCCCCCTGCTGGCACAAAACAGACTCTTTTTAATCGCATCATGTACAACTTTATTTACATAAACAGAAGAACAGAACATTGAAGTAGAGAAGAGTAGAGAAAGTAGAAAAGTGAAACAAAGTGGTCCGTTCTGAACTTCAGAAGAGCTGATTGGTGGATTTTGGAATGCTAGCAGTTTCCACCTGTTACCAGTCTTTATGCTAAGCTAAGCTAACCGGCTGTGGCTTTGTGTTGGTTGCACAACATTAGTGTTAGTGACAGAAACATGTCTAATGACTACTCCTTCAAGTCAGGTGGGATGCAGCTGACACACACACCTGCTGTCCACGCTGTGTGTGTGTGTGTGTGTGTGTGTGTGTGTGTGTGTGTGTGTGTGTGTCCAGCATTAAAGGTGCACTATGCTGCTTTGAAGACACGTTTTACTGTCAGTCTTCTCTCAGTGAAGACAAAGGGATTCTGACTCCAGATGATCATCGTCTTTAATAACTCTTCATCGTCTCCTCCTCCTCCTCCTCCTCCTCCTCAGATGTCGTCGTCCAGCGGCGCCATCAGCAGCGTGAGCTCCCTGAAGGCGCTGCCGTGTCGCCCCACCCCCCCCGCCCGGGTCTTCACCATGTTGCTGAGGTTCTGCAGCTGCCGGCAGCACAGCCTGCACTTATGGCGTCTATACACACACACACACACACACACACACACACACACACACACACACACACACACACACACACACACACACACACACACACACACACACACACACACACACACTCTCTCTCTCTC